TTGTTTGATTGTTTTTTTTCCCCCAGCGGAAAGCTTAAGCTTTTCTATGAATAATGGATAATCAGAACCGGAGCCAAATCTTCCCATTTAAAAACAGTATTTCCATTTGGAAGTGTCATCACGGTGCCGTTCGGGAGTTGTTTGGCTCCCACAGCCAAACTACAACTCCCAGGTTGCCTCATAATTCTGCATTTTCCTGAGTTGATGTCATGAGTCTTGGTGTTGCATTTAGGGGATGTGTGTCAAGGAGATGCTCTGACAGATAGGAACAGGTGCTTAGGAAACCTCAAATGCATATTTTCTGTGACATTTCTCTTAAACAGTTCTGATGTTTTGGATAGTACAATTTGGAGTTTTGACAGGATATTTAGGGGTTTGAGGGGAAGAGGATGTTGGATTGGTGAGGAAAAGTCAACATTTCTTGCAGAAAGCAGATACTTGTTATATGAAACTTTGTGAGCTGAAAATTGACTTTTCCATTCAAAATCAGTGACTAAAAATGCTGTTCTAAGACTTTTTTAAATCAATGATATATAAAGTTTTGAGGATGCTTAGGAGAGACTCGTCAGAGACCACATCTCATGGACAAGGACCCAGTTTTTATTTGCTCCCTGAATCATTATTTGTTCCTTCATAAATTAGTACAAAGACTTATTACTTGCATCTTTCTTGCAGGTGATGGTGCAAAGCATGGGCAACAGCAGGGGAATGAATTATCTGGTGTTTAATGATTAATGTTGTTGTAACTAGAGGAAATAGAAATGTGATGGGCATCCTTTGATGTGACGCTGGAAGGGGGGTTAGCTCATCTCTGATAAGGCTGTTAACTCATCTTTTCAGCAGATCATGTGAATTCCTTGTCTTATTTGATTATGACATTGACAGCATTAGCTGGAGTGAAGCAGATCTCGTTCTGCGTCTCTAAGTGATTTGTGACCAAATGCAACTTAATGAAATGTATCCACAGACAGAAAAGGAACTTTTCTATCGGAAGCAGCTGAGCAAGGATAGAGATATGGTTACATGCATGGAACAAGAATAACACAGACTGCATCATTTATCTTGGGAAGCAAGGAATTGTCCATTGCGACAAAATCAGTCAGATGTAGCAAGTGAAATGCTGAAGGCTCATTACGCTAATTAGTATCAGTGCTCAGCTGCAGGGAGGCAAGAAAAAACTGGCAGTGATACTTCAGGATAGTGTTTGCCCAAGAGGAAGCGTTGTGAATCATAGATTCATTAGTCAGTGCCAGGAGGGAAGAGCTGTACAGCAGCCATGGTCTGAAATGAGACAGGTCCTTTCAATGGCACCCTTAAATTGGTTGGCATCCAGATAGCACAAGTGTCATTCAGGAGATGAATTTGGCATTGTATGTGTGTGTAAGGTGCTATAAAAAAAAAGAGAAGAAAGTAGTAAAAAATTTCCTTTTAAAGCCCTGGTGATAAATAGGCAACAGTTCACAGTGGAATTGAGAAACCACCATTGCTTGGTACTTTATAGGGATCTCTCAGGAGAAGTTGACTTTTTGGCCTTGTTTTTCATCATCTAGTTAAACAGTGCCTGCCTGCCTTAGTCCACCTTCCATTAAAATATGAGGGAGTGCTTTGCTGGTTCTGCTGCTTCCTCACATCTTGTGAACAAGAGAAACAAGAGAGAATTATGTAGAATATACCTGGGTAATGTACAATTAGCAGAATTACAGTACTTTATACAGAGACACAGAAGTGAGATTTTCTTACTGGATTTTTTTTTGGCAATTGTTTTTGTAAGCTGCCAATAGTCCCATCCAAGGTGGCATATATTCTAGCTAATGCTGCAAAGGAGAAAAGACATGTAAAGCATTTCAAGGAAATAGAGTAACTTGGAACGGTTTTGTAAGAAATGCCTTTGATTTGAGTAGTGAATTTTGTTAAATCCTGCCAAACATTCAAAGCCATTCTCAGCTTCCTAGTTCCTTTATTTGCTATCAGCACTTGAAATCAGCTTAATATTTTACCTTTACCCTTGGCTGCAGAGCATAACAGGCAAAAAACATTATCTGTGCCTGTCATCACTGTTAGAAAAGAGAGAAGAAAGGAAGGGAAGGGATGAGGAGCAACAGGGCTGGCAGTGAACTGACATATACAAAAATAAACAGACTTTAGCATATGAAGGAAGGAGGGAGCAGGGTGGGAAAAATCAGCCTCTTGTAATTAAATTTAAAGTTTGCATCTTCTTAAGAGCTGTGGATACAGCCAGACAGAGGGCTAATATTTAAAGGTTGTTTAAATGAGCAGAGATGTTAATCATTGAAGGGACAAAGCTGCACTTCGTCTTCTAGCTCTTCCATTCATGCAGAGATGTTACCTTCCTTCCCTGCAGTCAGTAAGAGCTTTCATATTACTGGTTTAGAGTTGGATGATTCTTTTTAAACTAATACTAAGCAACCAGCAGCACCTGTGAACTGCAGAGGGAAAAATGGTCTTGTCATAGGGTCACCTCTGAGAAAATCCACAATTTCTGTCAGGGCGGCAGAATTGGTAAATTGTATTATGGACTGTCTGAAGAGTGAGGGTGCTGTGAACTACAGAGATCTTGGTGTGCTGTGTGGAAGCTGTGCCTGTGTATGAGTAAAGCCTTGCAGTCCATGGGCCACAGGGGAACCAGATTCTGCAGTAGGAAACACTGGTGCCTTGTCACACTGTCTGCTTGGCTTTCATGTGTGTTAAAAGACTTGATTAGGAGTTTTTCTTATATGATGGATCACGGGGTTTCTTTATAAGTGCTGAAGGAATAATGAACTTTTTTAGAGGCTTTTAGTTTAGTCTAAGAAATAAAAATTGAGTTTGGGATTGGTTTAATATTAATCTCTGAATTTACTGAATCTTGTTAGGAGTAATTTTTAACTGTCATGTTCCTATTCCCCTGCATGTTTGTGTCTTTGTATTGGACTCTTCCAGAGTGTACCAAGGCATTTTGGCAGAGGGATATGTGTGGACGGTTTGAGTAGACGTAAACTAATATCAATTCCCACAGTGAAGGGCATACAGTGGGTTTAGGGGTGTTTTTTTGTGAACATTGACAATGTTGAGAAACTATTTCTGTAGTTCTGAAATAACAAGACTGTTTTTTCTTGATGTTAAATTAAAATATGACAATAAAAATCTAGTTATCATTCTTTCCCTCTGAATGAAAATTCTTTTCATTTTTTTTCAATTAGTTGTGCTCCCTGGTATATCACTGTGATGCGGGAAGGTATCACACTTATGTCAAGGAAGTGTCTGGGTTTTATTTTTTCATAGTCACACTGGGGAAAGACGAGTTCCAATGACTGTGGCATTGTACCTATTGAAAGGAAATTGTGTAAGAACACAATTTCTTGGCAGAAATACAACTGCTAATCTCAGCTGAGCAGCTGTTGTCCTGAAGATCAGGAGAGGTGAGCCTAAAGGTAACTTTATCCAAAGAGCCTTTAAGAAACATAGCAGAAGTTGTCATGTTTTCATATAGAATTTTTGGCAGAAGCCTCACAGCACCATTTGCTGACTTCCCAAGTGTTAGCTATTGCTAATGTTTTATGATTTGCTGAATGAGTAACATGGGAATTGTGGATTATGAGGAAATAAGGGAATTCAGATAACTGAAATGAGAGTAAACTTGGAATGGATCTTGTGGTGTTGCCAGAAACCCCAGGATGGCATTAGAGACCTTGTTTTTGTACATTAAAAATGTATGAAATATTCTTAGTGGTTCTTATTATTTCTTTGTCTTTCATTCTTAACCAGTTCTCCATTGTTTGCACCTTGGTTGTTTTTTTAAAGCATTCCTGCTTTATGACCCTTTTTCTTCAAGCATCCTTTGCAAGGCATTGATATTGCCTGAAGCGCTACATGCAGAACACCTCAGTGCAAGGCTCTGCCAGTACAGCAGCAGACCCCCATCTCTACAAGTACATTTATATTCTATTTTGTTCTAGGAAGCTGGAGCAGCAAAACTGGATACAACTCCATAGCTAGAAGTTGACCCAACACTTTGGATATTTTTTAAATTTTTTTTGAAGTAGAAGCAACCCAAGTTTACAGTGCCACTAGAAGCATCCTAGTACTGGACTGGATACTGTGGAGATGATGAGGACCTACCACGATATCTTATATGCTCTGGAAGTGATACCTGAATTTTATCACCATACCATGATTTGAAAATTATGAACCACATTACAGCAAATCCTTTGAAGAGTGGAAGGAGGCTCTGATCGGCACATAGTCACTAACAAGAGAGACTAGTTGGATTTTTTCAAAATTGTGCTGCTCCCTACAGTCAAGTATCCTGGACCATCTCTCACTGATCACTGAGTCAGTAACAGAATATATTCAAACTAACTAAGGGAAACGTTTGCTCAGTGCAAGTCTGGGATCCCTATTTAGCTTTTTATCCAACCTTTACAGTGAAGTTAGGTAATTGTTCTCCATAATGATGTAGCATGCATCAAGATCTTCTTGACAGGATTTAGATAGTGGCATTTCTTGTGAGTAGAGAAGCTTAAATGAGAGATCCAGCTCATCTCACTTAAGTGCATCTGTACTTCAGACTGGTTGAAGAGATTTGAGTGCCTGCCTTCAGTTAGAATGAGTAGGAGTTGGAAGTGCTTGTTTACTGTGGAGGTTTTGAGAAGCCTGAGCTCTATGTAAGCTGGGTGAATTTCATAGATAGCACGGATTTAGGACATTGCAGTGGACTTGTTGTCTTTGATTTGTGCCTTCTTAGGTAAAGGAAAAACTGCATTTATTTTCAGGACTGCAATTATGTGAACCTTGGAAGGAAAGGAAATTGTAACATGCATATACTACAAGAACCTTTGAAATATAATGTGGACCATTGGTTCATTCCAGCCCAGTGTTCAAAACCTTTATATTTGTATTCTATTGACATTCCCAGTCCTTGTGCCAGGGCTTGCCAGGATTAGAAACTCTTTGGAATCAGCTGTTGTTTTGCTAGTTTATGTGTTGCTTTCTCATTTCAGCTACCGTTGTTCTTTGAGTGGGCATGATCTGAACAGACAGTGGATGACACCCAATTCCCAGCTGCATCCAACTATTTACCATGCCAAAGGTCTTCTCTATTACCTGCGCAGCATTGGCCGGGCTCCTCTGGTGAGTCTCTTCCAGAGTCTTTTGTGAGTTTCTGTGCATGGATTGCTTACTGTAGTTCTGTGAACAGTCTTGTTATAGAGCTGGAAGGATTTGGAAAGCATCATATACTTTTACTCTTTCATCTTACAGAATTGTTTTGGAAGTCTTGGGTATCTATTACTTACTGCACCTTCTATCCAGCTACTACACATTTCAGAATCTCTGCACACCTGGAATAAAAATGAGAAAATGAATTCCTTAAAGCTCTTTATATCTTTCAAGTACTCCAACTGAGCTAAATATTATGAGTAGGTTGTTGCTATCTTCATGACAATGATAGGAGAAATTCCACAAAGATTTAGTCTAAGTGGACTATGCTAAAGCCCATGAAAACAGAGCCTCCAAGCCCTCACAGTGTCTGAACTTCCATGCTGCTTTGGTAAGGAAGAAAACAACTAGTTTTGTGGGCTACCAGAAATCCATGATATGGGTCTCACCTCAAAGCTGCAGCTGGGCTAGGGCTGTGATCCATCACATCTGCTTAGTCTTGTTGCCCAGCAGACTAAAAAGATAGTTCTGAGACCTCAGAAGAAAAGCCTCAAGGAGGTTCAAATGTTGACAAGCAGATGTGGATGCATGGACTGACAGGTTGGCTGATGACAGCTACAGCCAGGCAGGAAATGTCCAAGTGCACCAGATTCCCCCAGGGTTTGATGAGAAAAACCCCAGACAAGGTGAAAATATCTGTGAGCTTCATGAAGTGAATTCTTGTGGGAATGTGATTTTTGGATAAATAAACAGCCCTAAAATTTATCTCTGTAGGCTGAGGAATATTGTGGAAACTCATTGAGTCACCAGCCTTTTCATTTGGTTCAGAGCAGTGTAGTGTCAGTCTTGTTTTACCCTGCTATTTCCTGTCCAGCCTCTTTTAATACACAAGCCTCCTTGTCATATCCAGGTGCAAGAAGTCTAACACTCAGTGCAAGTTTTCATCATTGTTGAGTGAAGGGAAACTATTGATCCTACCATCTCCCTCACTCACAGACTGCATGTCAGACTTGGTAAACTGATTTTTCCACGCCTTTGAAGAGTACATTGATTTTAGTTTATACATGCTCAAAAATGCCTTTTCCCTCCTTCAGAAGACAGCTCAGTTTCTTTTTCAATTTTTTTTAACCTCCAAGATCCCATGGAACCAGGTTCACTTATAGCCAAATGATTTCTGTGAACTGATTTAGTTTAATTTATCCTGGTGATGTGCAAGCAGTTCCTTTAAAGCAAGAAGAGCTGGTTGAAGGAGTAAAGCAAAGAACTTTAGATTTAACAGCCTTTAAACCAAAGCCATTTTAATTGTTAAGCTGTATAGACAACAGTCTGAATTGTGGTGGTGGTTTTATTGGCTTCTCTTGTTGAAGGTGGGAGCCCCTGTACGACCACAGGACTGGATGTATTGTAGCACTGCAAAGAGTCTGAGCTGTAGTGAAGAGCAGGATACCTTAGAAGGAGAAAGAAAGAACTTCCAATGGACCAGGAGGCAATGAGCAGAGTTGCCATTCAAAGGCATTATGTATCAAGCTTGGAAACAAGCATCAGCCTGCAAGGATGTACTCACTGAGAGGAAAAAAAAAACCCTAAGCACGTCTACCTCAAAACTGACATTCAAAGTCCTGTCAAAATGTTATTACAAAAAAAAAAAAAAGAGGTTTTACTCAAAAAAAGACATTTCAAAATGTTCTGTTTTCCAACACGTTTTCTTCCCCTTTCATATTTTGTCTTTTTTTTTTTATTTTAGAAGGTGACTGGTTCTGTGACTCATGAGGAGGGCTGTTTTTGAGTTAGAAAACAATCCTTACCTTTAGGGTGATCAGTGCTGACAAATAAAATAACTTCGAATAGATAAAAAAATTTAACGTGTGTCTTTGAGTCATATCCCAGTGAGTGCAAACCTTGGGAGTCTGACTGGTTTGTGTGCCTTAGTGTCTCAGGCATATGGAAGGACAGGTTGGAGAAAAAGCACTGGTAGATGCCAAGTTTGCTCAGTGTTTGCCCAGACATATCCCCAGAAGAATTCTGTATTGGGTGCTCAGACTACAAAATATAGCTTAGCCTTGGCTGAATGATGAGACATAAGCTACCCTGTAGTGTGAAAATCAGGCAGAAGCATGCACTATGAAGAATAATGAAGTATAAACATTGGGAGTGATTGCAGAATCCAGTAAACTTAATTAAAATGTGGCTCTATGCAAGTTGCAAATAAAAAGGAAGTGTTTGCAGTGGTACTGATGTTTCTGTTGTGGAAGCTGGTGATGTGACCTTCAGTGAAAGATCCCATGGCCTGAACCAGTTGCCGTATTACAGCACCTGGCTTTGGTAATCCTTTACCAGTAAAGAAATATCATTTCAGACCTGCCACTAAGGACTTGTCTGCAGGTTTCTTGAGGTGCAGAATTATAGACCTGCTACTGATCAGGCAACCCCACTCTCTGATCATCCCTGTGTGGTTTCTGATAAGTAATATTTTAGACAGATATACATGTTGTCTTTTGTGTGTTGGCAATTCTGTGAATTGGCAGGTAATTGATACCAAATTGATCTGGGTTCTCTGCCTTGAAATAAGATAAAAACTATAAAATCCTCTTTGATATTCATAGGAATACTCTCTCGTTGGTACTTGTGGTTAACCCAAGCTATGACTGTTTATTGCTGATAGCTTAGATGAAACACGAGCTGGAAAAGTATCTGTCATTAAGAGAATTAATAAATACAGCTTTTTTGAAGGAGATAGTACAGGATAACTGTGAATGGGTCAGAGTTTTTGGCAGGTAGCTCGCTGTTCACGTGCTCCAGGTGTGGAATGTGCATGCTGCAGGTACAGGGACATGCAGATTCCCAGCCCTACAAAAGGAGCTGTAGGCAGGCAATGGTGCAGGAAGGAAAGTTGGCAGGTAAGAAACCAAAGGAAGCAGCAGCATATAAGCTATAAAATGTGTGTAATTGTCCATCTGAGGGGGAGCAGTGGGATGATTCATTATGCATGTATGCCTTAACCTTTCCAATAGGGCAACTTAGTGTTTGTCAGAGGAGCTGAAAGAATGTACATGCTCAATTCCTGGATAATTAAACTCCCTGACTTGCTGTGGCTAAACTTAGTTACTGTATAGCTGGTAAATAAACAAACTAGGGTAAGTCTTGCCCTAACAGTTGGTGGAAGAAGCTCATCTACTCCATCTGTTTCTCCCCTCTTGTGTATGTATTTAGGTAAGAATACGTATATATGGGCGGGAGTGTTGATCTGCTGGAGGGTAGGAAGGCTCTGCAGAGGGATCTGGACAGGCTGGATCTATGGGCTGACAGTGAGTGGGTGTCAGGCTCTTCTCCCAAGTCACATTTGACAAGACAAGAGGAAATGATCTCAAATTGTGCCATGGGAGGTTTAGACTGGATATGAGGAAGTGAGTTCTTCTCTGAAGAGTTATCAAGCATTGGAACTGGCTACCCAGAGCAGTGTGAAGTCACCAACTCTGGAGATGTTTAAAAATAGGGACATGGTTTAGTGGTGGATTTGGCAGTGTTGGTTAATGTTTGTACTCGATCTTAGAAGTATTTTCTAGCCTAAGCAGTTCTGTGATTCTATTTTTTTAGCACATATTTCTCCCCCATCTCTCTTTATATTGAACCATAATACTTCTCCACCTTCACACATTTGTTTGTCTCCCACATAAGCCCTGGAAAACTTCCTTGATGAAATCTTGAAGCTCCTTTCTACTCAATGGTGAATGCTGGTTTAAAATTAAGCAATTCTTTCTCTTTAGAAATTCTTATATTTTCACTGACAGATTTCTGGATATTCCTGATTAAGACATGGAAAATATATGTAACAACCGTGTGTTTATCGACTTCATATCTCAGAGGGCACTGAGATTGATTTTTCTTTAAAACTTGGGTCAATATTTACCTCTTGGGTCATTAAATTGTGATTTTCATTTCTATGGAAGTCAATATCTGCCTATAAAGGCAATCAACACTTCCACTAAAACTGGGAATGTGCCTTGTGCTGAGCTTTTATGACAGCTGATGTGAGAGATGGATTAGATAGACAGGTAGATTAGTGTGGAATGAAATTATTTACCATGAAGATGGGTCATGTTCTGTGCTTGACTTCCAGGAATTCATGCAACGGTCTGACAATACAAGTACACAATTATATTTTCCTGAAAATTATGTGGCACGGGTTTTGAATTTAAAGATGACAAAGTGGTGATTAATTGCTTGGGAAAGCACAGATTTCAAGTCTCACAAGGATAAAGCTGGGCTTTAGGAGTTTAGAAGTAGAAAGAGCTTGAAAAATTACTCGGTTGTGGTATCAGAAGTTCCCATGAACCCTGAGGTTCCTGAGTTGCCATGGATTCTTGCACAGGTGTCATGTTTATTTCTGCTGCAGACAGAAATACACTAGTTTTGACTCTGGATCCCTGAGATCATGTCAGATCAAATAAATAAAACAAGATACAACTGACTAACAAAGTTTGACACAGGTTGTAGGCATGGCCCAGAGTTTAAGCTGCTCCAAAGAGCTCAAAAAACCGCATTAACACACCCCACAGTCTTACAGTGCTTTTTATGAAGAACCAAGAAACTTTTTCAATGTTCAAGATTTTGCTTAATTTTTTCCTCTCCCTAGGTATTCTGTGACTACCACGGACACTCCCAGAAAAAGAATGTGTTTCTTTATGGCTGCAGCATCAAGGAGACCTTGTGGCAAGCAGGCTGCATGGTTGACACAGCAGTTATCACAGAAGATGTTGGCTACAGAGTAGGTCCACTTGGTTCCTTTCTTAATTACTGGCCTGTATGTGCCTTTATATTTAAGATAAGATCACCTCACAAATTTTAGAGATAAAGTGCAAGTTTCCTTTGGAGTAATGATGCAGAGAGTTTCAAGCCATGCATAATATCTTCATACACTAGATATTAGGGACCCATCTACTAACAGTATTTTCGTTATTTTAGTAAGATGCATCTTTGGCTACATGCTAACAGGACAGGCATATTTTTGTGGTTTATAATTTCTAGGGATACATATGCTTTTGTCCCCACCACCCCAACATAATAAGAAAATAAATTGGAATTATGTAATGGTAACTGAAAAAATGACAGTGTGCCACTGTCCTACTCAGTCAAATTGCTTCATCAGGAGATGCTCCTGGTCCCACTGAAAACACCAGATAATTCAATGGATACCAAACAGATCTAATATAGTAAAGTTATTTCCACAGTAAGTGTTTGGTGTCATATCTAGGCTTTTTTTTTTAAATATAAAGAGGAAATAATAAAATCTCTTATATTTCTACTTCATGTAAATGTCTTGTTCATCAAACAGTTCTTTGGACTTCCTGCCCATCTCTTTTTTTTTTTTTTTTTGGTATCCATTTAGATGATATTTTCCTATTAAATAACAAATTTCCTTGGGGAAAAAAAAAATCTTATAAGCTCTAATTCTAGTCTTAAAAATGTTAATTTCTTAACATATGAATTGTGGCTTTAAACTGATTACAGAGTAATAGCTTGATTCACTCAAAACTAAAAGAGATTGAAAAGTCTTTGCCAAATTATACCTTAATTTTTGCTCCTTCAACATAAATACTAATTATCCTTATAAGGACACAGTGTCTTCAATGTTCATCTTATGGAGTTGTACACAGCACACTGAGACTTTACTGGAAGAAGGTAATCCCTGTGGCAAACACTGTTTCCCAAGGAAAGCAGGGAGGGTACCTACAGTCAGGATATCTTTTGGTGTGTTTGAATTCTGAGGGCTTCAGAAGGCTGAGGATAGTTACTGCCACACAAACAGAATCCAAATGTTGCTGTCAGCATCTGGAGCCTGACTCGAATCTGCAATGAAGAAAGACTCCAAGGCTGTCCAAAAATACTCTGTAGTGGCCTGTAGAAAGATTTTGTGGTTCAAATCCTCTCTTTTGCACAAAAATGAGGCATGAGTGCCTGCTGCAGTCCTAACCTATAGGTCACCCTCTTCCTACTTAGGCTGAGGAGGTTGAATTTACAGTGGGACACATCTGCAATTGCAAACTTCAGCAGATAACCACCCCTGCCTCAGACCTGCTTCCTTGCACTGTTTGCACAGGTTTCTCTCCTGCCTTGGGAGAACTGAGAATTAATCTGGCCTCCATGATTGATTTTTCTCCCCAGGAACAGGAACCAAATATCTCAAGAAAATTATGTTTTTTGGAACAGACTTTGCCTCATACGTCATAGATTTAGCTGTAGCCCTTGGCAATATACAGAGTCAGAGTCTTTGTTTCCTTCTAATATTTGGTGGCCTTGGGTGACTTGCACGGCATTGGGATCGTAATCCCAACCTTTTGATAAACATTCCAGGCCCCTTTGACAGCGATCTCTGCAGGGACATCAGTAAAGAAATATAATTCCATTTTCTTCCTAATGGTATTGGAGGTTTATGGACAGGTTCCAGTGTGATGGGAGCAGCTTCCTTTGCTGTTGTACGTGACAAATCCAGCTGTGAGAGTGACATGGAAACTTCTGTATTATCATAAAACCATCCTTTAAAGGGATGTGTTTTCATGCAAAATATGCTATTGAAAGATAATTAATAAGAAGAATAAGTAGAGAAGAAAGAACCATTAGTGTGAAATCCAGTGAATGCTGGTAAAATGAAAAGAATATTAAATTCAAGTTTGCTAATACTCTTAAATGAGTCCTGTGTACAGAGACATTACTGTTACCTGCCAGCATTTTTATTTAATTAAAAGTAAAAGATTGATTATGCATATAATTTCAATTGCTTTAAAAACCTAAACTGGATTAGGGTTCTGATTATTGTGTTTGATGGTATACATTTACAAAAAAAAATTTGTTTGTAGGTTCAGATAAGGGCAGAATAAAAACTATCTGAATCTTTACATACAGTTTAACTGGGTTTAACTGGATTTAACTGGTTGTGCTGAGGCTTATAAACACCTGAATCATGTGGTTCTGCTGCAGTTTTTTTAGTTCCTGTTCAACCAAAATCCAGGACAACCTGGAAGCTGGGATGAAAGTGTACTATTTTGTGATCCCCATGCAGTAAGTAGCAGGTTGAAGGCAATGCAGGCATACTGGATTCTTTGCTGAAGGCAAGCAGTCAGTTTTCAAGGTTCCTTTGTTCAGTGCACCCACGGGAAAGGGAGTGCAGCAGTTCTTAGTAACACACTGGAGATCTTGACTTAAGAGTGAGGCTCAAGGTGGTCTCAGATTTAAAGTGGAATCTTTTTCTTTGTTTCAGGTTTCTCCATTGCAGTTTTTTCATCTGAAAAATGGACCTTATGAAACTTTACCAGTTCCATAGATATAGAGACCACTGACAGCTGTAGCCAGAATACAGTGAAAAATAAAATTTACTTGTTCCTTATAAAGATGTGTATGGTTAAGCAGTTTGCAGGAGATATTGCAAAATAGTTTAGGCCAAATATATATCGTTCACATCAAATGTGTTTTAGGAAAGGACATTATTCATTTACTTTCAAACTGAATATTCCCATACAGTGCTATGAAGTAAAGCCCAACAGAAAGGAACTACAATTACTCAGAATCAGTCAGTGAAACTGATGGTTATTGGAAAGTGAAATTAACTTGGTTGGCTTTCACCACCCAAACTGAATGAAATTCAAGGGTAAATGCCTTTAGCCATACGTGGAAACTCCTTCTATATGATTCTGTTCATTTCAGCTGTTTAAGAAAACTGTCATCAGAGAAATAATGGTCTCATTTTGTTTTCTCTCATCTAGATAAATCAAAAGGTCTTTTGGTATGTGTTATGGTTAGTGTACCAGCACTGAAGTTTAGACACATGCAGACATAACCCACATACATGTATATGGGTACCTAACAATCCAGTTTATATACTCGTACCAGGTGTGCTCTATGTATCTGGTATCTGTTTTTATAAAGTGTAAAAGTAACACATTTAGCCCTCTGTAATGATTAAGTAAGTGTTGGTTCTGCACTGATAGAATATTTGATGCTTCAGGAGTGTTTATAGACTGTTGGGAAATAAAATTTCCAGAATAAGAAAATCACTCAGGGCTAAGATGTAATATTTACCAGGTTTTCATTATTACTTTTTATTGTGGTTTTTTTTAAATGAATTGTATAAAATGTATAACTTGGACTCTGATGAGAATATTTTGATTTGTTTCACAATGCAAGTTAGTTAAATGCTAAGCTTTATTTTTCACATAATTATGTGCAACCTTCTGTGAGAATACACACCCCTTTTCTCCGCTCTATACCATGTTCAGACAAAATTCCTCCCATAGCTCAATCCTTTGTCAAACAATGGATGTATCATAGGAGGAGATATAGTATAACTGTAGAGGGGAGAATAGGAATATTAGGTAGTGAATTATGACTGCAGCCCTCTTAGCAGCACAACAGGAAGATGCAGGTTAATGTCAAAGCAACTTGAAAACAAAACTCTGACTTCAGCCCCCTCAAACTATTGGGTGTGGAAATGTTTGATTTTGAATGAGATATACCAAATGTACTGGAAAGGTTTAATTTTAGTCTTTGGGATAAAACCAAATGTTAGAATCTGAGGGTTTCGCAGAGGATTGACATGATGTACCAGTTGGAGTTCTTGGTAACAGTGTCTATAGATAGATTTGATTATAGACACATTAAAATACACAGGTCTCTCTGTATATGTGTCTGTGATATAAACATGTGCACATAATGTGCAATTCATTTTCTCATAGACTCTTCCTAAAATCCTGGATAAAGTGGCCCCTGCATTTGTCATGAACAGCTGCAGCTTCCTGGTGGAGAAGTCTCGGGAGTCGACGGCCCGGGTGGTGGTGTGGAAGGAAATGGGTGTGTTGAGGAGCTACACCATGGAAAGCACCTACTGCAGCTGCAGCCATGGACCCTACAAAGTGAGTAAATCTTTCAAAGAACCCTCTGCCACCCTTCTCCTAATGCACATCCTGTGAGATAGGAAGGATAAAATGGAGTAGATGGCTGTTGTCTTGAGCAGTTTGCCTTCTCCAGACCCACGGAGTCTGAGTTTGAGTTTCTTTTCAGTGAAATCTTTCCATGAACCCTCATTCTTTTACCTTCCATGCCACTAGAGTCCCTCTCCGAGCATTCATGCAGCAGTGAAATAAAAGGAAACTCCATTCTGGAGCCAAAAGCATTGAGCTGAAGAAAGGAGTGTTTTAGGGATGATACAGGACTCTTATCCTTACAAGGGCATTCAAAGTGCTTTTAAAAAAGTGCTTGCAGGTCATATGGACACTTTTGAGCCTAATTCTAAGGTAGGTAACTGCAATACTAGTGGCTCCAAGCTCTTTGGTACAGGCAGTCAACCTGAGCAATCACCTGGCTAAATTTAAGAGCCTGCACTGAAAATCTTGCATTTGGAGTTGCTTGTTCCTGACAGGCAAAGGTAACTAATCTAAGGCTAGTTTTGACAGCTGTCAATGAGTTCAAGCTATGCCTCTGACTGTGATCTAGACAGACCTGAATTCCACATCGAATGAGTTTCCAGTCTTTGTAGGAAGGGCTGTACTTGTGCTGAGTGCATCAGGCACCAGTATGTGAGATCTCCCGGCACTGTTTAAGCAAACAGGATGAACTCTGGTAATTGCATTTGAGTGATCATAATTCTCTATTTATTTAAATGATGAATTCTTTTGCTTGTCCCTTTTCCAAACCTATTACTTTCATTGAAGGGTTTCCACATTCCACCTCATTTCTTCCACTAGGGAGCAATCCTTGTCTATACAACATTAATAAGCAGTTAAGGATCCTGAAAGACCCTTAAGGAAAGAGCCATTATTACAAATAAAAATTAATTAATAAGACATTCAAATTATTATCTTTGGAAGCTCTATACTAATCCTTTTACCTCTCTGTAGAATGTTGCAGGAAGTATTCAGCTGCTGTTTTAACCATGTTCTACTACACACACACCAATGCCAGGATAAGAAAGGCAGAAAAAAAAATGGCACATAATTTTAAGAAAGAGAATATAATTGCCCTGGGCATTACATCTAACACTCCCTACTCCTGAGTAGTGCTGATGGTTTTTTAATAGGCATCACAGGTCAAGACAGTGGGTTCGAATCTTTTTAGACAGTGGGGGGAATATCTATTTTGACTGAAGTCAATGACAAAACTCCTAGTGATCTCCACAGAGGAGGATTTCACTGATTTCTTAGATAACCACAGTAAGATCTAAACACAGTGACACATCAGATTGTATCTCATCTAATGACTTGTTCTCCATCAGCATCTGGGAGATCTTTACCCAAATTTTCTTCATGTGTGCCTTTAGATGCTTGAAATGCTGTGAAGAGAACATTAAATGCCACATTCAGACATTGCATTTAAGCATTGTGCCATCCACAGGGGCCTTGTAACATATAGCAGAGATGTCAAAAATAAGCAGATAGTTCAGGATTCTTTTTTTAAAGAAATCTCTTAGAATATATGAAATTATTTTCTAGGTTCTTTCTTGTCCTCATTTTCATCACTGATCAGGGCCACAGGCAACCACTGAGGGCAAGAGCAAGTTCATGTATGAGCACTTGTGGCTGGTGACAGAATCCAATGTTCTCATGGCTCTTAAGGAGGTCTGTAAGCTGTAAAGCAGTTCTGAAACTTCCAGTTTGAACGCCCTGAAAAGATGAGTCCCAGTTGAATCAGTGGATCATGTTTATGATGTCACATATCCTTTTTTTTTCTTTGTTTAATATTATGATTTATCTCAAAGATGAAGGATATATGAATAATCCCACTAGGGAGCATTTCTTTACCACTGCTCCACCACAAGGCTAATACAAACAGGTTTTTTTTACAGTTTCTCTGATTCAGGCAGCTCTAACGTATTTCCACCATTTTTTTTCGAAATACATCAAATACCCAACTTGTTAGTATCAAAATGGAATATAATTTCTTATGTTGATTATACTGGAGCTGCATATAAATACATATACTATATCTCCCAAATAATCAATGCTAATAAACTGTTTTCTCTTCTTTTTCAAGTGATCTTTACAGTCAGTCCTTGTTTGCTTATTTATTTGTTCTTAAAAGTAGATTTTTAACAGTATGGAATTGACAGACTGAACTGAAGATTTCGTTGCATAATACCATTTAATACTCAGCTTCCATCTATCAAACCAAAACTACTTCATTATTATCTTGAAGCCCTGAAATTATTCCTGTAAACTGGACATTAATCACGTAAGAGGTCATTTTTTTCTAGTGGCTTCAGCCTGAGTTCTTCACTCTTGGACCTTCCAGTTGTTGCGTGTGTAAACAATAGACTGATACTAATGCTCAGGCAGGAGATGTCAGCCTCCAATATTTAAGGCTCTCTGATATTTGGTTTAGTAAATTTGTGTTTAACTGTGAATGATAGAGTCAGTTTTTTAATTGCATAGGACTGATCTCCCTGTAAGGATATACCCAGAATTTCTCCCAGACAAGCATGCCCTTATGTTTTTTGATACTTGAAGTACAGAACCAGGACTTAAAACATCTTGTTATATGCAGCAGAGGCTCCCAAGTCCAGCATCACTCAGTGAATCAGTGGTCAAACCTCTATAAAGGCACAGCAGACCTGGATCCAGGTCTCTAACTTTCTTTCAGCTTGTAAGTGATGAAAGGAATTCACTGAAGTAGCTGAAGTAGCTGCTTTGCTGACTGTGAGCACAGATACAGTACTTGGAGTTGCACAGAGGCATCAGATGGGGGTTGTGCAAAGGATTTGGGAAGAAAAAGAAAACTATATAGAGGTTACAAGAGGTTAAAATATTAATTGCACAAGGCTGGTCAGTGTACCCCCTCTCACCACTGGTCAAGTAAGGGCTGAAAGTAAACCAGAGCCTACTTACCCTGGTAGAAAATATACTTCTAGAGTTTTTTTCCCAGGAACAGTGTCTCCTCTTGTGGACTGAAATTTTAAAATGCTTTAGTGACTGAAAGATAAGGCAGGAATTTGGTACTATTGATATGTAAATGAGAAACAATAGTGACCCCAGACTCGTTTAAAAGTCATTTGATTTCAAATGGCGAGAAGGGTGGAAATGAAAAGAGAACAGACATGGTCTGCTTGTTGAATCTCCTTGTCTGTGTGATCAATGGAAATGCAATAAGCCAACTACCCTTAAGGAAGCGAAACATAAAATTAAAGAAACTACTGATCTTATCTAAGGTTTTGTTCAACCTAAGGAAGAAGAAAATAAAGGGATAAAACATCCAAACTCTTTCATTTTGTCTGGATTGCCCAAATCAGTCTTAGAGGAGCAGTATCTCCATTTGGAAGTTGCTAAAAACAGAGCAACTGATTTCCACAGGGAATTCTGCCTCCTGCTTCTGCTAGTTTACAACCTTGTGGTCAAACCAGAAAATATTATTAATAATAATAATAAAAAAAATAAACTTCTTATAATTTCTTTGCTCATGTGAAGACCATCCGCATTTGTCCCTCATTGGAGCTTTACCCCTCCAACTTACCTTGTGATTTTAATTGCTATCTCTCTCTTGTGGGACATAGAGCCCAGAACCCCTTCTTGTATTTTGTTTTTAAAAGACCAGACGCAAGACCTACTGTAAGAAGTTGTGCTGTGTACAAGTACAGTCTGGCACAGTTATGACCCCAGAAGAATCAAATCTCCAGTGACACATACTGCCAGTTTCCCAGGTTTCTTCTGTGATTAATTTTTAAACTTAGGTATCTCTTTACTGTTCAATCATGCTCCACTGTTCCATGGTTCTTCTTGATTCCTTTTTACCTCACCTGCTAATTAAGACTCTTCTGTAGCATATTGCACTGTGCTGTTCTGTTCATTACTGCATCCATCATGCTACAAGTTAATGTCTTTTGTGCCATTGTGTACAGCTGAGTTCCAAACCATATGTCTTGGTAATAAAGCAAATCTAAAAAATCGACTTCATGTTCTGTGAGTACATGCTATGTTGGAAAAGCATTTTCCTTGGCATGTTGTACCTGATGGAGGAGATGGAGTACTAATGGAAATAGATTTTAGCTTCTTGCTTAAAATGGATTACAAACAACAAGGAGTAACAAATGAGTTTTAAAATTATGGCAGATATCTTGACAGTGCCCTATGAAGGAAGTCTTACTGGTGATATGTATCCCTCTTTGAAGAAAGCTTTTGGAAAAGCTGAGAAATAAGACATTTTTTTCCCTCTCCATTTTAATGCTTCTGAGTCAGAGGAATTGAATACTCCAAAATTTCTCATTGGACTTGGTCAGAGGAAAAAGCCATCCCTTTGGAGAGACACTGGAATTGGAGAGCAAGAGCATACAGCTCATAAGACTTCCTTTATATTAATTCAAAATATCTTTGCTAAACAGAAGTGATGAGAGTTAGTCTAATTGGAAGACCTAATATTATCCATCTCCTTTAACCTGGCCAACCTGGGCTAAATTATTTAAAATGATTGATGAACCAGTGATTTACCACAGAAGTGTGGCTGAATTAAAGCAATATGCCAAGATTAAAACCTTCCTTCTGTCTCATCCTTCAGAAGTGGCCTTCTCTGGTTTGACCAAAATTAGCCAAATTGTTACAAATATATGACCTGGCCAGTGAATTATAGTGCTATTTCTATTATCTGTACACAATTAAATATTTCCTCTATCTTCTTTACTCTTGAAGATTACTTACCAAATTTCTGCAAGGAATTTTTACCTATGCTTTATTCATAAGAAGTTTACTATGTTTAGTAGTCAGAAATTTAGTTGTTTTGATGGATTTTGCAGGTCACATGATGCTGCTTCTGTTCTCCAGTAAGATGTATATTGTTCTTGTAGTTGGAAGTCTGGTGCACAAACTTAGAAATGATTTTAATTTGGTCTCTTACCAGTATTCACCCACCAATAAAAATGACTTCATCAGTA